TTAAAATACTACTTTAGCCGAAACCGGTTTGGCTCAGTGGTAAAGCGTCGGTCTGTGGACTGAAAGGTCCCAGGTTCGATTCCGGTCAGGGGCATGTACGTTGGTTGCGGGCACATCCCCGGTGCGGGGGGGGGGGGTGTAAGAGGCAGCTGGTCGATGTTTCTCTCTCATCGACGTTTCTAACTCTCTATCCCTCTCCCTTCCTCTCTGTAAAAAATCAATTAAAAAAAAATACTACTTTATTGTGCCTCTTGGTATCTCTTCCTTTGTAGGTAATATGCTCTTGTTTTTTAGAACTTTTCAGAATTTTTTTGTGTTTTATATCCTACGATTCTGTATATTTCATTCTAATACATCTAAAATACCTTTTTTTTCATATCTTCATCAGCGCTTAATGGAACTTTTCAACCTAAGGCAGTCCCTTTTTCTTTAATTGTGTGAAACCATCCGTGTTATTTCTTCAAATATTTCCTTCTCTCTTTTGTGTCTCTCTCCTGTGGGTCTCGTGTAGATGTTGGGCCCATTTCCATACTTCATCTGCCCTTACTTTATCTTCCAGTCTCTTCCCTTACAGTTTCCCCTCTGCATGCCGCCCTGCTCGAGCACTGGCTGCTCCTCCATCTGACCCATCTGACTCGGTCTTCAGCAGGGGCCATTCTCCTGCTAATTCTATCTCCTTGAACCACTGTATTGCTCAAACTTAACCCCTACACTTGGTTCTTTTCTGAAATTCTTTGTGTTGTTACCATGCTGATTTAACATGTGGACCTTCTCTTCTAACGGTCAGTATTGTTGGTTAGTGGTTTTCCCGTTGCAGTGGAGACCCTGCCTGGCAGTGCATGTTGCAAAGGGGTCCAGGCAGATCTTGGAGCCAGTGCACCCAGGCATGGAGGAGGTGGGCAAGCGCCAAGGGCACACTCCCCCCAGGACTATAAAACTCCCAGGTGCCACTGCACCTCTGGGCTTCACCTCAGACCCTGGAGAGCATTGCTCGAGGGAGCAGCCCCCTCAGGTGGCCATCTACCTCTCCCTCTGCCCTGATATTCTACTTTCATCCTACTCTGGAAGGCCGAGCTGTGGTCACTGAATGGTGTAGCTGAAGGCTAGTGGTGACTGTGCCAGCAGACTTAGGGGGCACAGACCTACCCTGGTTTTCTCTGCAATATCTTTGAATTTGTGTCCTTCCCCTGCACCCTGCCACCCATCCCACACACCCCAGGTGAGCCTTTCAGCTCTCCCAGGGCCTCTTAGCATGCAGAGAACTTTTCTCATCCATCTCTGGTTTCTCCAAGGGGTGCCTAGGGGTCAGAGGGGCAGACACAAGGGTCTCTGTTAGGCCGGGAAACCACCCACAGTCTAGGTCTCCCCTCTGACACTGGTACTGAGCCATCGTTTCTGTGCCCACAGGGTCTACGGAAGAGGGAGCTACTGAAGGAACTGCTGCCAGTCATCGGACAGAACCTCCGCTTCCAGCGTCTCTTCACCGAATGCCAGGAACAGCTCGACATCCTAAGGGACAAGTAGCCTGCCCGCATCTGCCCCAACTACAGCCCGGGCAGGGCCACCTCTCAGCTTGTCGGGCTACAATGGGACAAGGAGACACTGGCAGGAGGCGGGCTGTCCTGCACCGGCACCGGCCCAGGTCCCTGGGTAGACTTCCCCTGTGTCCTGGGTCTGCTGCTGCTCCCGGGGAAGGGGGCAGCTCTGCTGGCACCTCGTGCCTCTCTCCGGGAACCCCCTGCGGAGCAGGGGTCGGGGCTCTGCCCTGCTGCCCTGGGATCGGCGAGGCACGCCCCGTCCGGCCGTCTGCAGCACGGTCCAGAGGTGGACACTAGCCCTGCCCCTGCAGGTGCCGTGCTGCTTCAGCTATGACGAATGAGCCATTTGTGAAGAGAGAGCCCTGAAATGTATTAGTGTATTATGCAGTCAGTAGACTAACCTATGTAAAAGGAAAGACTATTCCAACACAAAGACTATTTTTGTACTAGAATTTGCTAACTTGTAATACAGAATTTTCCTTTTGGCCAATAATCAGGATTTCCCTATAAGTCACTTGGACAATGGTTACTTGTAGGAAAAAATTTAAACTCTAATTATGACAGCTACATTGAAAAATAATTGTACTGAAATTAACTTGTCTATCTTCATTTGGTTTTAATTTTTAAATGTTTGTAAAAAGAGACTGTTTGGGGGGGATAGGGCAGAGGGTGGGTGATTTCTTTTGTAAGTGTAAAATAAATGAACACACATTGGATACCAAATCATCCTGATTCCCCCTGCCTCTCCTTCCACTTCCACCTTTCTCCTACAACTGTGGATCCCTCCTGAAATGGAGAATGACGACATCATAGCCAGAAGGGATCTTCGGTGTCATCTGAAGATCCCTTCGGTGTCACCACTACTCCTGCCCCAGCCCCTCCCTGTGGAAATTCATTTCTCAAGGGGAGGTCACTTCCCTGGTCATGCAGCGTCTTACGCAGAGCTGGGGCTAAACCACCTTGCTTGGTTCTGGCCGAGCAGTGCCCCAGGTCCCTGATCATGCTGGACACCAAGACTGTGGCAGACTTGCTGATTTCATGGAAGGATATCAGTACGCAGACACATTTCTAAAGTATTATCTGGAGAGTTTCTTGGTGGTCTAAGATGCTGACCCACGGGAGAGGAGATAGCTAGAATCACAGAACCTCCAAATATGGGGAGGGCTGAGCACCTTCACCCTGGATTCGTGGACCTCATTGTCGCCTCCCTGCCAGCTGTGTGTGATCCTGAATCCGAGGAGGAGGCCGGCCTGGGGATCAGAAAGCCTCGGTGACTGGCCCCGGGCCCCTCTCTGACCGCTTCCCTGCCTGGAGGCCATCTCACTGCCTGTCTCACTCAGAGTCTGGTGGATGGATGCCAGCACACAGGCGGAGGTGGGCAGAGACACCTCAAAAGCCAGGCTGCAAGTGTGAACTTGTCTTTAAGGAGTAAGGAACCAAAGGTGCTCTGTGATCAGGCACCTCCCTCAACAACTCCACAGTGAGACGTTGAGAACGAACTTCGGGCTGACGAATTACACCCATGGCTGAAGATCTGACAGGCCTGTCGGGGGTCTGGACCAGAAAAAATCTGGGCCTTGCTTTTCAGCTGTCAAATGGAGCTGAGGTTAAGAACCAACTGGGATCATGTAGGCAACATCCTGGCACTTGACCATGCTCTTTTGAAGAAAAATGTGGGCAGTCCGTGTTTTTACTACACTACTATTTGGACAGGAAGACAAAGTTGGAGACTTCTGCTTTCAGCCAAGATGAGTAAGGGCCCCAATTGACACCCCCCCCTCTGAAACCACCGAAGGAACAAAATACATGGGACAAATTGCATGGAACAATGGTCTTAAGACCCTGGTTATCAGAAAACAAAGGACAGTGATCCCTGGGCGGTGGAAAACAATTGAGAGGAGCCCTACGACTGCAAAAATCGACTCTATTGTTAGGTGATGGGCCTACACGGATAAGACGGCCTGCAGAGGAACTACAGGGAAAAAAACATTTTAATTTGAAAGTGAACCGTCTATTCTCTTTAACATTTTTGGCCACCAGACTGTAAAGCTATTGTGCAAATATTCACATCATCGCTGTGTTATTCGTGGTAGAAAATAACCGGTGGGCAGCCTGAAGCAGTTACTCGGGGCGAGTGCCAAAGGCTCCCCCTTCCCTGACAAACACCTTGTATGCAGCTGGCCCATCTGCATTCCAAACGCATGTTCAAGTGTCCCTCTGGAAACACCTGGCCACTGGGCAAAGGTGTGGCTCCTAGCTATGGACCTGCTGCTGCTATGTATTCTTGTTCAACCACAAGCAAGCCAGGTAACTCAGTTGGTCATCCGCCGCTGATGCGATCTTTGCAGACTTCACACTGATATTCCGTCACAGTGTTCTCTAGAAATCCTATCAGCCATGGAGGATGTTTCCGAAAGGAGCAGGTGCTGAGCCTGGGGCAGGAACACTTCGGTCACTCTCACACTTGGAAGCCTCCTTTTAGTTTTGGGGCATATATGTGACTGAATTTTAGAAATTGTCTGTGAACCCCCCGGCCGGTGTGGTTCAGTGGTTGAGCATCGACCTGGGAACCAGGAGATCACGGTTAGATTCAGGTCGAGGCACATGCCGGGCTGTGGGCTTGATCTCCAGTGTGCAGCGTGCAGGAGGCAGCCAGGCAGCCCAATGATGACTCTCTTTTTTAAAATACAGTATATTTTTATTGATTTGGGAGAGGGAGGGAAAGAGAAATATCCCATGTTTAGAGAGAATCACTGATAGACTTCCTCCTCCACACCCCGTACTGGGTATCCAACCTGCAACCCGGGCATGTGCCCTCGACTAGAATCGAACCTTCGACCTTCCAGTCTGCAGGCCGACGCTCTATCCACTGAACCAAACCGGCGAGGGCAGCTCTCTATTGATTATCTCCCTCTCCCTTCCTCTCTGAAATCAAAGTATATTATTATTTTTTTTAAAGTGTCCTTTGCCAAAACTGGTTTGGCTCAGTGGATAGAGCGTCGGCCTGTGGACTGAAAGGTCCCAGGTTCGATTCCAGTCAAGGGCATGTGCATTGGTTGCAGGCACATCCACGGTGGGGGGTGTGCAGGAGGTGCCTTGTCGATGTATCTCTCATTGATGTTTCTAGCTCTCTATCCCTCTTCCTTCCTCTCTGTGAAAAATCAATAAAATATATTTTTAAAAATAAATAAATAAAAAATAAAAAGTGTCCCTGGCCCTAACCGGTTTTGCTCAGTGGATGGAGCATCAGCCTGCGGACTCAAGGGTCCCCAGTTCGATTCCAGTAAAGGGCATGTACCTTGGTTGTGGCACATTCCATGGGGAGTTGTGGAGGAGGCAGCTGATCGATGTTTCTCTCTCATCGATGTTTCTAACTCTCTCTCCCTCTCTCTTCCTCTCTGTAAAAAAATCAATAAAATATATTTTTTTAAAAATAAAATAAAATAAAAAATGAGAAGTGTCCCTGAACCCAACTGTCCAGACGTTGAGGTAGAATTTCTATAGAGATGCAAGGCTCTGGGCAAGGGCAGCCAGTGACTCAGTTTACCTCTCCTGAAAACCCCGTCCCTCACAGAACTTGCTAAGAACAGCCCACACCGAGCCTGGCGTGCACGCTCACCCGCAGCCAGAGCGTGGCATGGACTCGCCTAGTCTCAGGGGTCCGGGAAGGGTGACTGCCCGCGGACTACTTTGCGCGGACCCTCAGGCGGAGGACGAAGGGGTTCCGCTACCGCCGGCGGAGGGGACGTGCGTGGCGCCCCGAGTCAGTGCGCCTGCGCCGCCGCCCCCGCGCGCGCACACGCCCCCCGCCGGCCGCGCGTCCGCCCGTCCGCGGGGCCACTCGCGCGACAGGGGCCGCCGCAGCCCCGCGCCCGCCCTCCCGCAGGTCCTCCCCTTCGCTTCCGGGAGCGCTTCCAGGTGAGAACCGGGGTTCTGCGGGGACCCGGCGGGCTCCAGGCAGGTCGCGCCCCCCACCCTCACCCCCACCCCGTCTCCCTGAAGACCTGGGGGCGCCGCCACCCCCCGGCTCGACCTGACCCCGATGGAGGCGGCGCGGACTCCGGTGGGCTGGGCGGGCGGTTCGGCATCGGGACGAGCCGGCCCGGGACGCGGCCCGCCAGGTGCCCTGGTCGCGGGAACGGTGGTCCCCCCGCGATGGTGCGCGGGGACCGGGGCGGCCGGGCGGCCGCTCTCGAGGCTCCAGGGAGGGAACCCGAGAACCGCTGGAGTCAGTGCCCAGACCAGCGATTGGCAGCCCTTTCCATCGCTTGGCTCACACAGATTAATTACTAAAGTTCTGTGGCACTTACTCTATATATACATATTTGTGTATATATATGTGTGTGTGTGTGTGTGTGTGTGACCGGGTGTCCCGCTTTTGGCGGGACAGTCCCGATTTTTAACAATTTGTCCCGTGGCTTTTTAAAAAAAAAGTCCTGATTTAAATTTTAAAAAAAAAATTTTTTTAAAGTGCCGCTGGACAAATTGTTAAAATCGGGACGTCTAGTCACCTTAATATATATATTTTTGCCGATCTGACAACAGAGTAGGTATCACTTTGATTCATTCATACGGGACCGCTGTTGTGTTGGCTGTTATTATTATTTCTTTTTTTTTTTTTTTTTTGGACAATTTAAGGGAAAAGAGGTCAGTGCCCCTGACTAGTCAGGGATTGCATGTTTTAAAAAATCTTGTTGAAAATCGCTGAACTAGCCGAAACCAGTTTGGCTCAGTGGTAGAGCATCAGTCTGCGGACTGAAAGGTCCCGGGTTCGATTCCGGTCAAGGGCATGTACCTTGGTTGCGGGCACATCCCCAGTAGGGGGTGTGCAAGAGGCAGCTGATTGATGTTCATCTCTCATCGATGTTTCTAACTCTATCCCTCTCTCTTCCTCTCTGTAAAAAATCAATAAAATATTTTTTTAAAGAAAAAAAGAAAAGTAAAAAAAAGAAAATCGCTGAACTAGACTGACTAGAGATGCACCTACATTTCTGTCCCAAGCGTCATAACTCCAAAATCGGCATCCAGTCTTCCATGTCCCCTTTCGTATCTTGTGGTCCTTTTGCTAGGATGTCTTCATGGGGAAGGATCTTCAAATTGTGTGACCAAGCCGAAACTGGTTTGGCTCAGTGGATAGAGCGTCTGTCTGCTGACTGAAGGGTCCCAGGTTCGATTCCGGTCAAGGGCATGTACATCCCCAGTAGGGGCACATCCCCAGTAGGGGGCGTGAAGGAGGCAGCTGATCGATGGATGTTTCTGACTCTCTATCCCTCTCCCTTCCTCTCTGTAAAAACTAAATAAAATATACTTTTAAAAAATTGTGTGACCAAACAAGAAAATCACTACTTTTTAATTCTGGAATAATTGCATGCCTTAGATGGTTTGGCTTGGTGAATAGAGCATCAGCCTGCGGACTGAAGGGTCCCAGGTTCGATTCCGGTCAAGGGCACATGCCTGGGTTGCAGGCTCATTCCTCAGTGGGAGGCGTGCAGGAGGTAGTCAATCAATGATTCTCTCATCATTGATGTTTCCAATGATTTTCTCTCATCATTGATGTTTCTCTCTCTCCCTCTTCCTCTCTGAAATCAATAAAAATATATTTTAAAAAAAGAATAATTGCATATTCATTAGGGTCATTTTTTTTTTTTGGTTGTTAATCCTCACCCAAAGAAATTTTTCCGTTGATTTTTAGAGAGAGTGGAAGGGAGGGAAAGAGACAGACACATCTATTGGTTGCCTCCCACATGTGCCCTAACAGGGTGGGAACCTGCAACACAGGTACATGCCCTTGACCTAAATCAAACCCTGGACCCTTCAGTCCAAGGTCCAAACCCGTTAGGGCACAATTATGATGGTCTGTTATCATAAGATCCTTTCAACACAACAGCACCCCCAAAGTTTAGCCTTTTTTTTTTTTTTTCCCCCAGAGGCAAAGGTTGTGGGCTCCATCCCAGTGTGGGGCATGCAGAGAGCAGCTGGCCAATTACTCGCTCCCATCATTGGTGTTTCTTTCTCTCCCTCTCCCTTCCTCTCTGAAATATGCCTCCAGGCTTGCCTGGCCCTCTCCAGTCCATTCTCTAGCACACAGGCAGAGAGATCTCAAAAGATAAACAGCTGCTCAGTCTGTCAGTGAAATCCCTGTGTTAGCTCACACACACACACACACACACACACACGCCTTCTTGTCCTCCAGGACCTTCTCTGGACTCCCACACCCTTGCTCATGGGTTTTCCAATATGCTGTTGCCTCTTTCCAGAACCCAGTCATCCCCTTGCCCCTCTCATTACCCAACCAAGTCCTGCTTAGCCTTCTGGTTTCTGCTTACGTACACTCTCCAGAAGCTGCCCCTGACTTGTCTGAGCCCTTCCTCCCTGTCCCTGTGGCCTTTGGGACTTCCATTCTGATGGCCCTCATTTCCCCTTCCTGCTTGTGAGCTCAGAGAGGTCAGGGTCTTCTCTTGTTTGCAGTTGTTTTCCCACCGCCTGAATGGAATAGGCCCTCCGATCTTAAGCCAGTTTCATAATAAAATGTTCATGACTGATTAGTTATAATGTAGGCCGTCTGTTGACAAGATTTGTAGGCTTTTTCAGGCTCTCTGTACTGCTCACCTTTTTAAAAAATATATATATTTTATTGATTTTTTACAGAGTGGAAGAGAGAGAAATAGAGAGTTAGAAACATCGATGAGAGAGAATCATCAATCAGCTGCCTCTTGCACACCCCCTACTAGGGATGTGCCCGAAACCAAGGTACATGCCCTTGACCGGAATCGAACCTGGGACCTTTCAGTCACATACAGATCACAGCATCTATTTGACAGAATTATTTATTAATATCCTCCTGGGGCAATCGCTGTCACCCTGTCCCACATCCTGTTAGTATTTCTTTGCTTCCCCTCATCTTCCTGCATTTCTCCCCTTGCTGCTTCACCTAATATGCTGCATTCAGTCTCTTCTGTATTTTCTGCTGCTGCTTCTCTTGCTTGAGGCCTGCTGGTGGCCCCCATGCCAGCGAGAGATCACCGTCACTCTTGGCTGCTTCAGTAAGGATGCCACCGAGCTGGGACAGCAAAGTTCATTGACAAAATTAGAACCCAAACAGATCTTCACAGGCTGGAATCCAACTAGTTGGCATTTAACAGGGATAAATATAGGGTCTTATGTATTGGTTTTAAAATACAGAAAACTTACAGTAGTGTAATTTGAGAGAGGTTCTGTAAAGCACTATAAAAGTGTAGTTTTTAAACTATCCTAAACTAACCTAGACCTAGGATTTGTTTTTGTTTTTGTTTTTAATTCTTCGTTGTTGTATTACATATGTCTCCTTTCCCCCTCATTGACCTCTAGTCCTAGAATTTTAAGTAAGTTCTATAAAAGACCTTGCTGTCATCATTCTTCATAGCCCCTCGTTTACAAAGCTCTCTCTTTGAGCTAGATCTGACTTCCTAAAACTAGTAACTTCTTTCCTAGTCAGTTATTTAACACATTAGGCAATCAGGATAAGGTTGTGAATGAGCCTTAGAAGAAGACAGATATACAAAAGGAAAGATGACCAGCATCTTCAAAGGCACAGAGGCACGAAAACATGGGGGATGTTCAGTGCACCTAACGTGTTCTAGCTCTTCAATACAGTCAGTTGGTGTTTTCACCAAGAGTCTTGTGTAAACAGCTGTAACTCTCTCAGACTACTTACTCTCCCTAAGCCCCTTTTTAAATTTTTTATTTTATATTTTTTTTATTGATTGATTTGGATAATCTTCACCCGAGGATATTTTTCCCATTGATTTTTTTTTTAATTTTTTGTTGTTGATTTCAGAAAGAAAGGGAGAGGGAGAGATAGAAACATCGATGATGAGAAAGAATCATTGTTTGGCTGCCTCCTGCACACCCCCTACTGGGGATCGAGCCTGCAACCCAGGCTTATGCTTTCGACTGGAATTGAACCCAGGACCCTTCAGTCCACAGACCGACGCTCTATCCACTGAACCAAACGAGTTAGGGCATTCCACTAATTTTATAGAGAATGGAAAGCAGGGGAAGAGACAGAGAGAGAAACATCAGTGTGACAGAGCCACATCGATTAGTTGCCTACCACACATGACATGACCAGGGATCAAGCCTGAAACAGAGGTACATGCTCTTGACCGGAATCAAACCTAGGACCTTTCAGTCTGGGGCCAGTGCTGTAACCACTGAGCACAGGGAACGCTACAGGGATGAGGGGAGGGCCTTCCTGGGGCTTGGCACTGCTCCTGAACCCTGTCAGCCGAGAAAGGCAGAGTGGCCAAGCTGTGCATCTGCCTCTGTTGCAGGACAGGACGCCATGCAGTGCACTGCAGAGTCAGCCCCACGATGGCTGAGAAGCTGCTGCAGGGGTTCCCGGAGGAGGGCCAGCAGGAGTGCTCCGCAGCCTCTCCCTGCACCTGCTGCAACCTGCTTCCCCGAAGGTGATGCTGGAGCTGGCCTGGAGGCACAGCCTGGTAGGCCTGGCCGTGACCTGCTTCGCCCAGGTGATGAGGGAGAACCTTAGCAAAGTAAGTGCCTGCCCTTCCGTGGCTCCTTGGCCCCTGGCTGTGACTGGCTCTGGTCTGCAGAGGCCCTGCAGCGGCTGGTTCGAGGCCAGCCAGCTTGCCCAACCAGCCCAGGCTGCTGTTGGGAGAAGCCTCTTGCCTTCGCACTTGATGGTTTTTCTTCCCAGTGTTATCATTTCTAGAAAATCACCGTGGAGCAGTGGGGAGCTGGATAGAACGGAGCACTTGCCCTCCCAGCAGTTCCACACAGTGGAGGGGAGATCTGAGGGGGATGCAGTGATTTCACCCACCACCAGAGGGCCCGGGGACAACTGGTGAGGGCCAGCTACCCCTCAGCACCAGCTATTGGCCGTGGGAGGGGCAGTGAATAGGCACGTTAACATGGATGTAAGCCTTTAATGAAGGAAACAGTCATCCCCTCCACAGCTGCAGACACTGGGGCTCGGGCCCAGAGCTGACAGGTGAAGGGGTTGGGGGTTTAGACACGAGTCTTCCTGGCCCAGAGGCCACACTCCTGTCTTGGCACATCACTCCTGCCACTCCACATCTCACTTGGTGTCCCTAGTGTCCCATCTGGCTTTCTTTGCAGGCTGATGAGCTGTTTAACGAGGTAACGGTGTCTAATTTCAACTTCCTGTGAGTGGAAGCCCTAGGAGTCACTGTCTAGGGCCTAGCTGTAGCCACTCTCCAGAGACACATCATCCGGCCCGATTTGTTTCTAAGTCTGCAGAAAAGCAATCGCTCAGCAGTGCCGACTTGCCCTTCGAGCCACATTCCTAACCTTCTGCCAGCCAGACGGAGGCCCCACAGTGCCAACAAGCCCCGGGCCAAGGCTTCCTTCAGTGTGCATGGAAACGGGGAGCCTCCCAGGCTTAGTATGGGGTTAGGGAAAAACGGAGGGGATGGGGTCTGGTGCTCCCGGCTTCGGCCTGCAAGGGCCATCCCAGGGCCATCCCAGGGCCACTCAAGGCCATGGCCCTGCTGAGGAGGAGGGACCCAGGAAGTGTGCCTTCTCGCTGGAAGGACCCTGGTCCCTGGCCCAGGGTCCCCAGGCACCCTCCCTAGTCCTGGAAGGCAGGAGCTGCCGTGGTGCCTGCCCTCAGTCCTGCCCTACATGCCTCTCCTGGCGCCCAGCCAGATGGCTTGTCACCTGGTGGGGAGTGGAGGGTGCTCACGAGGGATTCCGCTGGGCAGTGGGAGAGTTTAGTTGGTTCCTGGGGGCTGGGCCCAGCAGACTGGACACTGCTGTGAGGCAGATAAGAATGCCACAGCACCTTCCTGACTAGAGATGCTGGCCCCGGGCCTCTTGACTCACCTGAGAAGCTCAATGACCATCCCTCGCTAAGAACCGTCTGCTCCCCAGCGCACTCCCAGTACAGCCAGCTGAAGGCAGAGGGGACAGGTTGAGAGGGGACAGTTTTCTTGCTCCTTCCTTAGCGCAGGTCCCATGGAGGGAAGAGGAGAGGGAGTGCACGGGGCTGGCATCAGAGCTGTCTCTGCTGGGTGTTCGGTGCCTTGCCTGAGCTCTCCCAGACCTGAGTGCACACAGGGCACGTACTATTTCTTCTTTCTTACCCATGTGCTTGTTTGGGGGGGTCCCCGACACACAGTTGCTGTCACTCATCCTAGCACAGTACATCCCCCATGGCACCACCTCATTCTATTCCCTCTCCATCTGTCTGTTCCAGCCTGTGAGCACTGCACCTGGTGAAGCCTCAGAGAAAGGCAAAGTGCAGTTTGTCTGCAGATGGCCATCACAGCCCCTGCCTCTGAGGGAGCGTCCTCCTTGCCGGGTGGAGGGTCCCAGGTGTAAGGTGACCAGTATCCTTAGAAGGGGTGAGCAGCCTGCACTCTAGAAGCAGGAGCTCCTGCGTTGTCTCAGCAGCGTCCCTGTGTCCAGAGGAGGGCCCGCCCTGAGTCACGGCCCACTCACAGCTCACTGCTCCAGTGCACCTGGTGGTCACGTGGCCACTTGGGAAGCTCAGGGATGGAAGAGCACCTGGGGCTCACCGGGGCCCCAGTGGGCACTCAGCTCCACCTGGTTAGAGAGGCTTCGCTTTGAGGAATGAAGTGGAGGTCACTGTCAGTGCAGAGGGTTCTGGGTGCCTGTCCTCAGCTCCAGCTCCTGGAGCCTATGTGCTTGCCTCCCAAGTTCACCTCGAGGCCAGGACTGCATGTGGATGTAAGGCAGGCACACACATGCTCTTGCCTCTTGCTCTGCTTAGCAGGGACAGACTAGACACCTCAGAGAGTCTGCACACATGAAAGAAGCATGTGGTAGAGCCCACCCTCTCCTGTTTAGCAGGTGGCATCCCATAGCTCCAGTCCCCTGTCCCTGGCGGGGATTCCCGTTGGGGTGAGAGTGGACAGGGTGGGGGATGAGGACCACAATGGCTGCCAGATGTAGAAAAGGCAGAAGGTCAGTGATCCAGGAATGTCAAAGAGGCACCACCACTGTCCTCCCTTCTCTGAGGACAAATACCTTCTGGTGGTGGTGCCCTTGCCTATTCCTTGTGCCTGGCAGTTGTGTCCACCTGTCTGGCCCCTGACACTTGAGGACCTGCCTGGATGGCCTGGCCATTCAGCAGACAGTTATTTGGTGTCCACTGCACAGAGGCTATGGTTCCTAGAATGCATTGCTGGACTAACATAGACCTGAGGGTGTAATGCGAACACGCAACACCCGAGTCTTCCACCAACTGTGTGCTCTGGGGGGGGGGGTCATGGTGCCCACCTACCGTTAATGTCAAAGTGTTTTGTTTTTAATCTGTTTTTATTAAATATATTTTATTGATTTTTTTACAGAGAGGAAGAGAGAGGGATAGAGAGCTAGAAACATCAATGAGAGAGGATGATATTTGGTTCTGTTGACTAACGAGTTTCCCGACCACTGCCCTAGCCGATTCGGCTCAGTGGATAAAGCGTCAGCCTGTGTGTGGACTGAAAAGTCCCAGGTTTGATTCCAGTCAAGGGCACATGCCCTGGTTGTGGGCTCCAATCCCAGTGAGGGGGCATGCAGGAGGCAGCCTATCAGTGATTATCTCTCATCATTGATTTTTTTTTTCTCTCTCTCTCTCTCTCCCTCTCTGAAATCAATAAAAATATATTAAAAAGCAAAACGTGCCGAAACCGGTTTGGCTCAGTGGTAGAGCGTTGGTCTGCGGACTGAAAGGTCCCAGGTTCGATTCCGGTCAAGGGCAGGTACATTGGCAGCTGGTCGATGTTTCTCTCATCGACGTTTCTAGCTCTCTATCTCTCTCCCTTCCTCTCTATAAAAAATAAATAAAATATATTTAATTAAAAAATAATAATAAAAATAAAAAGCAAAACGTTTCTTACCGTTATATTGGCTGGGCCCAAAAAATATTCGTTGTGGACCTTGAGTTTGACATGCTTGCTCTGGATGATTAAGACTAGGCTGCAGCCCTGCTCCTTGAGGCCCTGGCCACTTGGGGGCAGCAGGAGCCCTGCTCGTCTTTGGCTTCTCCCTCTGCAAGCTTGCAGCTGATGCTGACAGCAGGCCCTCCTACTGGAACAGCCCCTGTGGCTCCCCCTCTGGTTGTTCCTGCGTTGCCCAGCCTCCTGTGTATGGCTGCATGGTCACTCAGTGGCAACACTCCCTCTACCGATTCATTAACCTCAAGGAGCACAAAGGACCCGGATACAAGATGGAGACACCTGGATATTATTTTTTTTTTAAATATTTTATTGATTTTTTACAGAGAGGAAGGGAGAAGGATAGAGAGTTAGAAACGTCTATCAGCTGCCTCCTGCACACCTCCTACTGGGTATGAGCCCGAAACTAAGGTACATGCCCCTGACCGGAATCAAACCTGGGACCTTTCAGTCCAAAGGTCGACGCTCTATTCATTGAGCCAAACCGGATAGGGCTGGATGCTATTTATTTTTGCTGAGACCCACTGATTGTAGCCTCTGAGCCATCCCAGAACCTGGGGGTGTCAAGGTAACCCTTGACTACCTAAGAAGACCAGCTCCCGGTGCCAGGCAGGGAGGCCAGCATCCTGAGGAGTTCTTGTCTGCAATGAGGCCCCGGCACTGGGGGCGGGGCGCCTTCTCTTCATTGGCGCTGGCACTGCGAGCTGCCCGCTCCTGGTCACTTTGCAGACACAGCTGATGCAAACCCAGTCCACCCGTCTGATCTGGCCTTGAGCTCCTGCTGATCATGAATATTAAAGTCGGTTTATCAAGGCAAAGCTTCCCTGCTTGGTGCTGGTGTAGGTAGGAGAGGGCAAGCAATCTGCCGGCTAGGCCCTCTGGGGTTGGGGGACCTGCATCCACATAGGGAATCTGCCCCGGGGGATACAGCCAGGCGTTGGGGTCTTTTATGGACCGTGTGCACTGCTTGGAGTTCTAAATCCCGGAAGGGGAGTGGTAACCGCCGAGCCCGCGGGTGTGGGAAGGCCAGACCCTCAAACTGCACGGATGGGGCCGGCCCACGTGTCCCTCCACCGCCATCCCCGGGGTCCTGGGGGTCCTGCCGCACGCGTCGGGAATGCAGACCCCGAGCAGCTCCTTTGGGCGCCTCGCTGTGCTCAGGGCCCGGCCCGGCTACGAGGCTGCACTCTGACCCCCAGCTCCGGCCCGGCAGCGCCGCCCGCCGCGGACCCCGGCCGCCGAGCGGGTGGTCCAGGGGCCGGGCTCGTCCATTGGCTGGTTCCCGCCCCGCCCCGCCCCGGCCTCAGTTTCCCGGCCCACGCGGGGCGGGGCGGGGGCGGGGCCCGGCTCGAACCACGCGGGGCGGAGCCTGAAGCTGATGCGGCCGCCCCGCCCCCGGACATAACCAGCCGCCGCCACCTCCGCAGGCTGGCTCCGCGGAGCACCGAAGGCTCGGACCCGCGACCAGCGCCGGCGCCCCGCCTCTCGCCTGCTGCTCCCCGCAATGGCGGCGCCTCGCGACCTAGCGGCCGCCGCGCCGGCGCCCGGAAAGGCCAAACTGACGCATCCGGGGAAGGCCATCCTGGCAGGTGGGCTCCTCGGGGGCGCGAACCCCTGGTCCACCGGCCCCGCCGGCTTCCGGGCGGCCCGGCCGCCGAGGCCCCTCCCCACTTCCGGGTTTGGCGGGGGGCGCTGCACCGGTCCCCAGCTCACCCTGGTGTCACCCCTGGAGCCTTCTGGGGGGACGGGGGTGGGGCTGGGACCTGCCGGACAAAGTCCGGGGTGGCGGTGGGGGTGGGGGCGGGGTGCCCGGGGGGGGGGGGTCTCAGACCACAAGTCCGTTCCTGCAGGCGGCTTGGCCGGAGGCATCGAGATTTGCATCACCTTCCCCACCGAGTACGTGAAGACGCAGCTGCAGCTGGACGAACGCGCACACCCGCCGCGCTACCGGGGCATCGGTGAGCGGGGGCAGCAGCGGGAGCCCCGAGGGGCGGGCCCCGGGGCCGGAGTCGCTGACCACCCCCTTCCCCAGGGGACTGTGTGCGGCAGACGGTGCGCAGCCATGGCGTCCTGGGCCTGTACCGAGGCCTCAGCTCCCTGGTCTACGGCTCCATCCCCAAGGCGGCCGTTAGGTGAGGCGGGCCCGGCGTGGGGGCGGTCTCTGGAAGGTGGCGAGGGTGGTGGCGGCCCCTCTCACCCCACTGCCTTCCGCCCCAAGGTTCGGGATGTTTGAGTTCCTCAGCAACTACATGCGGGACGCCCAGGGACGGCTGGACAGCACGAGGGGGCTGCTGTGTGGCCTGGGCGCGGGAGTGGCCGAGGCCGTGGTGGTCGTGTGTCCAATGGAGACCGTGAAGGTGGGGAGGTTCCCTGTAGGAACAAAGCATGCAGCGGGAGGAGGTGGTGCAGCCCGGGGTGATGCCCTGGCCCTGTGTCCAATGGAGATGTTGAGGTGGGAGGGTCCAGCAGGAAGGGCAAGGGGTGAATGGGGAGCCGAGTGCAGGAGGCCTGCAGGATGGGCCTCCTGTGGAGGCTGGACTCTGTTCTGAAAGCAGGAGAAAGATGGTAGGTTTTTTAAAAAAATAATACTTTTATAAACAAAACAATGCATGTTTGCTGCCTGAGATACAGGCAACACCACCAACACAACTTAGCGAGGCTGGCCCTCTTGTCTCTTTGGCCTCAAGTCGCACAGTGGCCTTATTGGCCCTGTTTGGATCTGTATCAACAACCCTGGCCTGACTGGTGGGCTCTGGACCTGCCAGCCAACGGGCCAAGTGTGCCTCCCATGGCGCCCTGGGAGCCAGCTCCTTTGCTTCCCTCTCTCAGGTGAAGTTCATCCATGACCAGACCTCCCCCAACCCCAAGTACAGAGGATTCTTCCACGGGGTCCGGGAGATTGTGCGGGAACAAGGTGAGCCACTGGGCCTTCCTCCTCGGGTAGGATCAGGGACCTCAGCCCGAATGAAGGGCCCTTCCTCTTTCTGCCCTGGCACTCCTGTGTGCAGCTCCCCCCGGCCCCCACTGGGCCTGTGAGCCATGTAACCTCCATTCCCGCCTGCCCCCAGGGCTGAAGGGGACATACCAGGGTCTCACAGCCACCGTGCTAAAGCAGGGCTCCAACCAGGCCATCCGCTTCTTCGTCATGACCTTCCTGCGCAACTGGTATCGAGGTACGTGTGCCGCCCCAGGACCCCACCTCACGAGCCCTCGTTCACACTCCTCCCAGCCATCAGAGCTGACCCCTTCCCTTCCCATCACTTTCTGATCGCAACTCCACCCACCTCCAGGGGACAACCCCAACAAGCCCATGAACCCACTGATCACCGGGGTTTTTGGAGCTATTGCGGGTGCAGCCAGTGTCTTCGGGAACACTCCTCTGGACGTGATCAAAACCCGGATGCAGGTGGGACAGAGCTGAGAAGGGGAGGGGAGTGTGGGGCAGGGGCTGGCTGCTGAGTCCCGTGGGGTGCTGGTGTCTTGCAGGGCCTGGAGGCACACAAATACCGGAACACGTGGGACTGCGGCATGCAGATTCTGAGGAATGAGGGGCTCAAGGCGTGAGTGACAGACAGGGCTGTTTTCCCCACCCCGGGCCCTCCCTGGCCTCCCTAGGCCTTACCCAAAACCCCTGCCTGCCCCAGGCCCTCCCCTAGGAAGTCCTTACCTTTAGATCCCTGTCCTTGCCCCTCCAATGTCCGGACCCGCCCGCCCTGTCTAGGGGCCGTGTCCTTCATCTGCCTCCTCACCGGGGTTTTTCTCCACTAACCCAGCTTCTACAAGGGCACCATTCCCCGATTGGGCCGCGTCTGTGCGGACGTGGCGATCGTGTTCATCATCTACGATGAAGTGGTGAAGCTGCTCAACAAAGTGTGGCCGACAGACTGAGCCCCGAGGGCCCTCATCGGGCTGCCCTCAGGCACCTCCAGACCAACCCCTCCACCCTCTCTCTTCTCATGATTCCAGTGCAGCCGTGCCAAAAGGCCCCCTCTCTCGTCCCTTGCATTCCATGGCCTGGTCCTGTTCCCCTCAGCCTTTGAGCCCACATGTCCCATAGTACTGTGTCCCTCGTGGTCCAAATGACACCACCCTTGTGTTCACGTGTCAGCAGAGGCTGGGTGTCCTCTGGCCTGTAGATCTGTGCCCCCTGCCCATGTTCTTACTCGCGCGTCTTGTGCCTGTGTTTCATGTTTTGTGTCCTGTGACCCCATGTCCCACTTCCCAGGGTGCCCGTGTTGCCTAGGCCCACAGCCCTGTCACCATGGCTTGGTCCCAGCCCGGTGCCTTCCACCCTGGGCAGCAGGTGCACCCACCCCTGCGTACCACAGCTGCCTCCGGGCCTCAGCCTGGCCTCACTGCATTCCAGGGGCTGCATGCCCCCCGCTTTTCCTGCCACTGGCCTTAACTGGCCCTTGGGCCCTCCCTCCGCCTGGGACAGGATGGCACCTGCCGCTCTCAGGACCACCCTTCCAGGGCAGAATAAACCGGATACTGTCACAGCCTCCTATCCCTGTGTGGGCCCATTTGTGGGTGGGCAGTGATGGCCAAGCCTCTGGGAAGGTCAGCCCTTCTGAGGATATTGGCAAGGGGCCAGGGCAGCCAGGCAACTGGCAGGCAGGTGGGCAAGCCAGTTGTAGCCAGTGTCAACCCTCAGACCTCACACCAGGCTTCATCCAGGCCTTGCCTGTGGCCTATGGCCAAGATCCTGTGGGGTCACTCCCTTGCACGGAATCATGAGTGGGCAGAATGGAGAGCTGCCCCATGCTGCTGGTTGGGCCTGGAGAGAGAGTGCTTTCCTGGGCTCTTAGCCTTCAACCTGTGATTAGGCCCCTCCCTCCCTCCTGGCTTCTCTGGGAAATGGTCTGAGGTAAAGGGTTTTGTGGGGCATGTGGTCCCCTGAGGCTCTGAGCCTGGGGCCTTTTCTCACTCCTCTGGGACTGGGAGGCCTGGAGCAGGAATAGGTGGAGCTCCCTGACCAGGGCCCTAGGGGCACCTCACTCTCAGAGGAAGGTGTGCCTCCTGCTGGAATCCCAGGATCCAGGCACAGGCTGGGGGATACAGAGCTCTGAACTGAAGGATCCCCAGGGCTCTTCCCACCCCCTCATATCAGGAGCTGGAACCATCACCCATGAGCCACGTGGAGGAGACCCAGAGCAGAATGGGGTGAACCAGGCAGAGGTGCCTTCCAAGGTGGCTCAGGCTGGGGCTGGACAGTAACTTGCCAGCAGGAGCCTCCCAGTAGGACGGTCCCCTCCCTGGAACTGCTGCTGCTGGGGAGAGTGCCCCACTGTAACCTCCCACAGCACCTGCATCTGGACATTCTGGGGTGGAATTGAGGGCCCAGTGTGGGCTTGGAGAGCAAGGAACAGAGTTTAGAAGGGTTGGGCCATGTGTTCCTGATGCTCACAGGAGACTTGCCAATCTTTACCACGACGGAGAAGGTCTAAGCAGCAAAGCTTGCCTACCCACCAGAGTGCAGGAACTCGGGAAGCACTAGAAGCACTGTGTGCGACAGACGCTCACTGGGACCTCACCCTCAGGCTACCAGTTCAGCCTCAGCAGCTTTGCTGTGGGGATGAAAGCAGGTGATGGGCAGCACTGACCCACAGCACAGACTGCTGAGGCCAGAGGGGCACATAGCCCCTTGGTATCTGCTGTTCAAGACCCAGCATGTGACCCCTGAGGGGGCAGGACCCTGGCTCCTCGTCTGCTCACTGTGTGACCTTAGGCAAGTCACCTAACTTCAATTTCCTAATCTGTAACCTGCAGTGACACAGGAACCCACTCCATTGGGCTATGAGAATGAAATTATATCTGTATAAGGTGCTTAGGTCAGTGCTTAATACATTAAGCCCACACGTGGTAGCTTTTTCTTTGGGTTGCAAGAGGAAGATTGTAGTCTTTCTGGTTCTAAGTAGTTCCTATAGTTGGCAAAGCCCAGCAGCTGGGCCCTAATGCCCTTGAACACTGATCTCCTGGGATGGTAGCCACTTAACTCACTGCTCATCAGCACCCCAGAGACTTCACAGGGACGAAGGGATTAAAACTGCCCATGGGGACCTGTACTCAGCAGGGACAGGAACTCTGCCATAGCTTCAGGGACCCCTGCTGTGCCTCACAGCACAGTGTGGACAGAAAGGAGGCAGCCCAGCTAGAAAAGTAGGCTGAGCTGGGTGAGCCTCCTGGGGGCTGTGAGCAGAGTTGCCACCTGCCCTGTTGGAACTCCCTGTTAGGCATTGCCTGAAGTTAGGCAACCTCAGTTCAGGGCTGAGACCAGAGAGAAGTGTGGGTGGGGGAGGGGCAGGAGAAACTTGTGTCTGGGCTGAGGGCCATAAAGGCTGGAGGGAAGTAGCAGAGGGAGAGCAGCTGGAAAGGCAAGTAAGGACCTGGAGAAAACCCCAAAGGCTGCAGAGAGGAGGCCGATGGCAGGGACCGTGTAGACATGGGACCACTGGGACTAGAATCATTGCCTGCCCCTGTGACTACAGGGGCAAAGGGGCAGAGATGTGCTTATCAAGAACTAGACTTGCAGTCTGATCACAGGCCAGTGTCAGGGAGGAGACGCTGTGTCTGACTATCAGAGATGTGAGCTGAGTGTGAAGACCATATTCCTTCCACAACCAGATCCTCGTGCAAGCCTCAGCCAGCCTCCATCCAGCCTCGGGCAACCTTCACCATCTGGCAGAGTCTCGCCTGGGATCACAGAATGTGCCCAGGAAGGACAATGGCCTCAGAGACAGGGCAAAGGAATAGGGGGTGGGTAGCGTCCGCTTCTGGGGCAGGGCTTGGCCAACCTCCAGCCCTGTCCTCTCTGTGTGGCTAGCCTCTGTAGGCAAAGGCCTTCAGGCAGCTGCCCGCTAGTCCCCACCCCACCTTCCTGAACCCTTCCTTCGCTGGGTGACACTTCTGCAGCAGTGGGCCCTGGTTTCCCCATATCCCCGTGTGGGCGATGAATGGCAATCAGCTTAGAATACACACACACAGTCACTCCTGACAAATGGCCTGTCTGCTCTCCATCAACAGAGAAGTCTGTTTTTCAGGTTGTACCCTCAGCCTCCACAGCAGACACAATCTCACTTGATGCCAGAGTATTTTCTCTTGACTTTCTGTCGGTTCTCACAGATTCCCTGGTAGGGGGTGGGGGCACAAAATGAGGGGGCCTAAGGAGTTCCTGCCTCCTCCGGATCTGGAAGGGGACTGGGCACACCCGGACAAGCATGGAGATGCAGCAGTGGAGAACTGGCTGCAATGGACCATGAGGATCCATGGTGTAGATCCACTACGTAGGTGATTTTCATAGAAAACAAGGTGGTCCCTCGTGTGGCCTTGCAGCTTCCCTCTTCCCACACCCACCTGGCCAATATCCCAGAGAGCCGCCTCCCCTCTGCTCACATTGGGCCAAGCCCTGACCTCTCACCCTCCCTGTTGTCACCTTCGTCTCCTTTGCCAGCCACGCCCACCGCTCACTTAACCCTCCATTGGCCCGAGCCTGACCCGCCAGGCCCCACTGGGCCACAGGAGCGTCCTCTCCTCAGGCGATAACCATGCCACTCCGATGCCCACAGTGGCCTGCCGCCCGCCCCCGGCTGGAAAGCTCGGCCTCGGGGCTCCTGAGCCTGGGCACCGGCCGGGTAGGAGCAGCCGAGGCTCTCACGGGCCTGCTGCTGGCTCCCGGAGCCCGCGCCGCCGACCCCCTCTTCCCCGCGGCCGGTGACCCGGCGAGGCGCCCCTGCCCTCGGGGCCTAGGAGACCCCCTTCCCCCCAGGGCTGTGATGCGGGGAAGGTAAACCCACTGCCCGCGATCGCGGCCTGCAGCTTATCCCGCGGGTCGGATCAGGTGGCGGGAGAGGGGCTGTGCCCGTCGGGGCGGAGGGGAGGGTCGCCATCCCCCGGCCGGTGCGAGAGGCCACAGGCCGTCAGAGCCTCGCTCAGCCCCCGCTTTTGGGGTCCGTGGGCGCTACCCAGGAGGCTTCCCGGGGCCATTTCTGAGGAAGGAGCCGGGTTTCCACGGCCTTTTCCCCGGGCCGGTGGCGCTCGGGAGGAGCCTGGGGAGCCTCTGCTCGCCCGGAAGTCGGCGAGGCGCGCGCTGATGACGTCACGTCGCGGGCGCGCTCGGACCCTGGGCTGGGTGGCCGGGTGACGGGCACTGCCTCCAGCCCCGGTCCTCGTTTTTCACCAACAGAGCCCCCCGCCTCGCCTACAACCCCCCAACACCCAGCCGTTCTCCGAATTACTGAGGGCGCCTGCCCCGATGACCTACTGCCGGCGCCGGCCTGGCCCCTCCTCTCCGCCCCGCCCCACCCGGAGGTGCCGGTGTCCCAAGGCCGGCCAGCCCGCTCTTCCCTAGGCCGTTACCCAGCGCCGTTCCCCTCCCTCACCATTTCCCTCACCTCCCCCCCCCTTTACCTGTAATTAATGCCCTCAGGCCCCGCCCGGCCCCCTGTGTGCTCAGACCTCAGCTCCCAGAGGGCAGAGCCTGCCTGTGGCTCACCTTCCTCCTCCACAGTCCCAGGCTCAGTGCGGGAAGGGAAGGAAGGACTTCCAGCTGTGTCTTTTCCGCCCCCTGTAGCTTCCGCTCCAGGGTCCCCCGCCTCAGCCATGGGAAAGGAGATGGTGCCAGGGGCCAAGAGGGCCCCCTCGGCCTCTCTCCGCTGCTGACCCCTCCCCACGCTGCCTGCCTGGCCAGCTCCAGTCCAGGCACCTGTTGCCATCCATGGGCTTATGTAGGGCACAGTGGCCTTGCCACACCCCCATGGAGGAGGAGGTGCAGGGTCACCCTGTTGAGTCCCCCACTGTGGGAGTCTGTCATTTCCACCCAAGAGGAGTGGGGGCTGGGTGGGGGCTGCCTACAGGAGGCAACAGTGAGCACGGGCTGCACAACTGGACATGGGACCGCCTGGACAGACCTTGCCTCCTCTCTGCCAGCCCCATTTCTCAGATGGGCAAACCCAGGCACACACGAAGCACCCACCTGGGAGCCCTGGGAGCCCAGGCTTGCACAGGCCCACCCAGTCCCACCTGGTGAGAGGTGGATGGAGGTAAGGGGGGAGCAGGGGAGCAGGAAGCATTAATCAGCTGTCAGCTAGTGGATCAAAGAATGTGCCCCTTCAGGGTCCTCAACAAACATGCCCCTTAGGGAAAGATGGAGAGTCTGCAGGCGGGGGCTCTGTGCTGGTGTCTGTCATCTTCCCGCACCCCCAGTCTGAGACCTGCTTCCTGGCCATGTGTGACGGGGTGTGTGTGTGTATGCCTTGCCAAGAAGCCATCTTCGGGGGTAGGCTGACACCGAGTCACAACGGTGGAGTGGGGAGAGGAAGGTGTCCTTCCTCCTGTGGCCGGGAGAAGGGAGGGGTGTCTGGGCAAAGGGGCAAAGATATCCCTGATTTCCCGGGACGGCTGGCAGGGTTTGCCAAGGTTGGAGCCAAGAGCCAGGATTCACTCCCACCTGCTGGGCTGGGCCCACATATCAGCGCTGGCCTGACAGACCAATGGCGTTCATGCC